TCATTTTGTGGAATCTTTTGTGAAAATAGGAGTGTCCTAATGTGCATCCCCTTTCTTATGTTTTCCAGTTCAGTAGCAACGTAACCAAGTGTTTACATTCAACTACAAAAGAAGTGTGCTTAAATTGATTTGTACTTTTTTCAATAATGAAGATTAAGGATGGATGATTGAACCACACAATTTAAAGCTGCTTGTTAAACACATCCTGTTAGTGACACACACAAATGTAAGTCCAACATATACTTTGGGTGTCTTCTTTTTTGTCACATTATCTTCCTCACACCCCATTATCCATGCCACTGTTCCCATTAACTGTTGAATCCTCCCTCACAACCATTCAGTGACAGATGGAGGATGAGGGAATTAGTGGAGTGTCTGTCTGTGTCGCTATAGCCAGGCACAGAATGATCACATCATCCATTGACACCTCCAAAGGACCCTAGCAGATCTCAGCCAATAATGTCATTAGGTTCTTGTAGGTTTTTTCGGGCTATAGAATAATGTCATTGTTCATGCCTTGCTACAGGAATACATATACACATTGAAGCCCACCATAATGATAATCATAGAGAGCAGTGTTGAACTAGCTGAGTTTTCTCCCAACATGTCAGAGTTGAGAGGATATTACTACTACTACTATTATTATCCATCATTGTCAAATATCATGTTCTGCAGTTGATGGTGATTGGTGGTGGCAGGCTTAGCAGTTGGTGATGGAAGGGTTAATGTAAGCCTTAGTTCTAAAGCGCTGAGTAATCTGTAAATAAGAATTTATGGGTGAAATCAATTAAGGGTGGAGGCATGGAAGAGATAGGTTGCAGCTGTGTGTTACTGCATATAAGGAGCTAGCTTTGGGACTGAGCTTTGAGAGAAAAATATTTGTTTTATTTTGGTGGTAGATGTTGATGGGTTTCCCCCAGGTTTGTGGATTTTTGGTATCCTGAACTCTTGGAACCTTGAACCTCTGGACTGGCTTTTGACTACAGTATAGACTCTTGATCCCTGGACTTTACTCACTGAACTCTTGGCATTTGACCACTGGACTGGACCCTTTGATTACGGTGTTCTCTTGAATTTGCACAGATGTTTGCTATCAGTTTTTGTTTTATATTCTGTGGCTGAGTGCTATCTTTATGTTTTATATTTTAGACTATTAAAACAGTCAGAAAGTAAATGCTGCTTTAATTAAACAGTTTGCTTCAAACTGGGTGTTTGTTTGGTTCACCTCTGCCTGCACTGGCAACATGACAAACATTCTTTATTTACAGTCAGCCGTCCGTATCCATGGATCCTATATCCAAGAATTCTATTCGACTATCTAGCCAGGATGTTAACCGGGGCTCATTACAGAGAGAGAGGTCAACCCTCCTGTTTAAGGAGCTCCACTGGCTGCCGTTTATTTTCCGAGCCCAATTCAAGGTGCAGGTGCTTACCTACAAAGCCCTGAACGGTTTGGGACCACCCTACCTGCGTGACCGCATCTCCATTTATGAACCCACACGTTCACTCCGGTCATCTGGAGAGGCCCTGCTCGTGATCCCGCCCGCGTCGCAAGCGCGCTTGGTGGGGACGCGAGACAGGGCCTTTTCTGTGGTGGCCCCCCGACTCTGGAACGCCCTCCCGAAAGATCTCAGACAAGCCCCTACATTGGCAGTCTTCAGAAAGAATTTGAAAACCTGGCTGTTCCGATGTGCCTTTTCAGATTAGGAACCCCAATACCAAGTCCTAGAAGCACTTTAGTAGAACCAAGATCACTGCACACTGCACTTATTTTACAATCCTACATTCCTCCTGCCACATCCGCACTTTTAATCCTGTACCCACTACTCTGGCCGGCCCAGTTTTAATAGTGTCTTGTTGTATTGTTACTGTTTTTGTTCTCTGCTTAACTGTTTTTAATTTGCTTTAGGTATTGTATTGTTGTATTGTGTTTTGGGGCTTCGGCCTGTGTAAGCCACATCGAATCCTTCGGGAGATGCTAGCGGGGTACAAATAAAGTTATAATAATATAATAATAGGACTTGGAAATATTAAGACAAAAAGCAAAGGTTGATTTTGCCATTTTTTATAAAGAATACAATTTTTCTATGCCATTAAATGCAATGAGACCTGAACATCCATGGGTTTTTGGTATCCATGTGGGCCCTGGAATCAAATTCAAGAGGACATCAACACTTTATTAGTAACAACAACAAAAATACTTCTGTGCACTGACTGAGAGACATTTGTTGCTGTTTCTATCTTTCTATCTTGGAAACCTGCTGTGCAACAGGAAGCATTCTGAGAAACAATAATCCATACTTCACAACTACAGCATTTGATAATTGCCACGACTCATTTTTTCAGTATCCTGGAATTTAAAGTTTGATAAAATATTTAGGATTAGCTTCTAAAGTGTTGTAATACTGTAGTTCAGAAGAGCAGACTAAAACGCACTACCACAGAATTCAAACTTCATCATTAGATTTCAGATCCCAAGATCTCATAGGTTAGACCCACAATTAAAGCTTGTAAGGAGTTTGCTGTGTAGATATGCTTGCAATCTTTATATGGGCTATTTGGGAATGGCTCACAAGATGTGTAGGCATAGGAAAGAAGGGGGGTTCATGAAGAGTAGTAGGAAGCACTGAAAAGGTCAGGGTATATGTGGAAAGAGGATGCACCTAGGTTTGTCTAGGGACCCCTCTACACTGCCATATAATCCAGATTATCAAAGCATATAATCTGGATTTCATATGGTGGTGTAGAAGAAGCCACTGACACACAAAAAAAATTGTGCTTAGTGCAATATGAAAAAGAGGGACTTCATTAGTCTGTATTGGCAAAACCACCAATTATAAAAATGTATGTTTTGGGGTATTTGAAATTAAAACCAAAAACATCTATACTGCCTTTTACTGTCACTCAAAGAGAAAAAGTCAAAACTTGGACAAATAGTACTTTTTGGGATCAGAACTCTCAGAATGCTAATGCCCAGAGAATTCTGTGAGTTGTGTAGCCCCCCCCCCCTCCCCCAAGGTCCCAGGATAACACCAAACTACTGTGGGATAGCCCAGCTGTAATAAAGCATCAGCGGAAGGTGATGGGGTAAGCTGCCAGGGTGAATTCAGTGTTTGCGAAACAAAAACTAGTTGTTCATGCAAACAAAGCCTTAGCTTCTTTGTCTTCCAAAGACCTAGTAGTGTTCCCATAATTATTCCTTGGGCAGAAGGATTCCTACATGGAAGAAGCCTGAGAAAATAAAATGTACTTGTACCTATTTGCACTGTTGAAGGTCCAACAAGGAGGCCCTCTGCATTCTTGTGGAAACGTCTGTCAAGATGGGTTAAGGGACTTAAAGTTAAAGCATCTCATCCTGAGAGACATTCTTTGCCAAGAAATATTGTCTCAGTCACTCATTAATGTGCAAGCGCTGTAGCCTTTTCAGACAAATGAGTACAGCAGGCCATTTTATTAAATAAAACTCCAGTACTGTAATTGTTTAATTATATGGCTGTCAAATACACGAATAGCTTCTTTGAGAAGTACAAAGTTCAATACACATAGACAAGTTTTCGTGAGCCTTAGCTGAATGGCATCCATGGGCAGAAAGTGAAACAGTATTTTTTTAACCTGTCAAATCAAATTACCAATAGTTTATTCTGAAAGTTTTCCCTTCCTTGCTCCTCCTTTAATCTATTTTATTCTAGATATTCACACTAAATATCTGGAATCTAGGCTGTTTTCCTACAAGATATGAATGTCCAAATCTGCCCAAATGAATAAACAAAATTTATAAGGAGTAATTTTATGTGTGCAACTGTGTGTGTGTTCTTTATAAGAAAGAGAGATAAAGAGATATTTGGCATATATGTACACAAAAATATGAAGAAGGATGCACTGAGGTTATCCTAACAGAATAAATACAATGTAATATCGAAGGTTTTTGTGGCCAGAATCACGGGATTGTTGTGTGTTTGGACAAATTCCAGAAACATTCTCTCCTGACGTTTCGCCTGCATCTACGGCAGGCATCCTCAGAGGTTGTTAGGTCTGTTGGAAACTAGGCAAGTGAGGTTTATATATATATCTGTTGAATGTCCAGGGCGGAAGAAAGAACTCTTGTCTGTTAGAAATAGGTATGAATGGACAAAATCTGGCTACCAGTATTTAAAACCTCTAAAATCATAACAGTAAAGAACAACACTAAAAAAACTGGGGACTTCCAGACAAGAAACAATCAGGGCCAACTAATTACCTCCCAACAAAGGATTCCCCCAGGCAGTAAGAAGACAGACCTTGAAAACTGCTAGGCCATTAAATGCTAACCAAGGTGGCCAATTGCTACATTCACATCTTGTAAAACAGACAAGAGTTCTTTCTGCCACCATAGACATCCCACAGATATATAAACCCCATTTTTCTAGTTGCCAACAGATCTCACAACCTCTGAGGATGTCTGCCATAGATGAGGGCGAAACATCAGAAGAGAATGCTTCTCGAACATGGCCATACAGCCCAAAAAACACACAACAACCCAGAATAAATACAGTCAGCCTTCCACATTTGCCAGTTTATTTTTATGGATTCGATTATTTGCAGATATGATTAGCATTTTCTCTGTAGGTCATCCTGAACCTATGAAAGTGGAGGATCTACTATACAAACAGTAAATACCAGCATTCTTATCAAATGATACAACTTGCACACTTGTTAAAATGCAAGGTTCAAATCTAACCAAACTTACAAATAGTATATACTTTATAGCAGAGCTGGGTAAAGTTATTTTTCAACTACTACAAGTTCCATAACTCTCCTTTTAACATTTTAATGTAACTTTTACAAGCTTTATTTAATGTGGTGGTGATGATCCATCATGAACAGAGGCATACTGCTTCAAATTCAAAACCCCAGTGTATTTCCCTAAATAGGAAAATTGGCTGTGCATTTTCATTATCGATTAATCTGGACAGACTACAATGCAGAAAACGGAGGCAAAGTTTAAAAAAATCATACACTACCTTTCAACATTTGGAACTTTTCAATTCATCTTCCAGGAATGAAGGACTACGTTTCAATTTTCTCTATGGTATAGCAAAAGTTCAACAAACGTTGTCCAGAAATCTTCAGTGTTGTTACTAAAACAAAAACAAAGGGGCACATCATTACATTTTGGCCTTCAATGTCATAAAATGAAGTAAAGATTGTCTTCAGATAAATGATGGCTTACTTTGCAAGGAAAAGAAGTTATAACATCATTTTAAAAGATGAGCATCCAATCACTTTCATAATAGCAACCAAATTAACAAAGATTTTTCAGACCTTGAAGAATTACTGCCCAAAATCCTTTGTATAGGTTTCATATCTATTAGTAATAAAGTAAAAATGCCACACCTCAAGCAAATCTGGCAATCATACTTTCCCAGAACAGAAACCCCACACTCAAATGTGGGGGCTATCCGAAAATGTAACTTTTCCAAGATTTGGCTGTTTCTCCCACCCCAAGAGACCGCTTCAGTAAGAAGACTGTAAAAGCCTGAAGTCAAGAAATTATCAGACTAGCAATTCTAATGTGCTCATGTCATGTGGCATGCAATATAAACAAATAAATGAAAAAAATAATTAAGAGGCAGTGACAGTTAATACTGGATCAGGATGGCACAAAATGTATTTTCAAGACCCCAGTGTCAATGGCATAATTCATTCAAACAAAGACTGTCGATTTTATATACATTCATGTAATTAGACAATAAACTGAACTGCTTGTCTTTGGCACCACACACAGGGCATTTCTGCTACAATACAATACAGAATACCACACAGCCAAGACATTGGCAACACTCCTTTGTGTTTGTTTTTAACGTTCAAGGCTATCTCCATAAATAGATCCATCTGTAGCTGTAGGAAAATATAATGGACAAACATTCAACAGAGGTGAGCACACTTTCACAACTGTGCAGGTATGTGTCTTCGAGCTACCTGTTGACTTATAGTGACATCATGAATTTTAAAGTGTTTTGTTAGGTAATTTTTCCATTGCTTTCCTTTAGAGTCTTAAGTTATACCCTAAAGCACCCTAAAGTATTTGGAGGTTTGCCGTCCAAGTACTAACCAGTGCTGATCCTGGTTGGTTTTCAACATCAGATAGGATCTGATGCCTTTGGAGCAGAGGTCCTCAAACTTTTTAAATAGGGGGCCACTACACTGTCCCTCAGACTGTTGGGAGGGCCGGACTATAGATTTTAAAAAAAAACTATGATCAAATTCCTATGCACACTGCATAGAAAAGGGAGTGAAAAAAGAGGAAGAAAGAGAAAAGAGAGAAAGGAGGAGGGAGAAAGAGAAAGAAAAAGAGAGGGGGGAAAGGGGAGAGACTGAAATGGGGAGAAATAAAGGTTGCTTACCTGTAACCGTATTTCTTCGAGTGTCTATCCATGAAATTCACACCTATGGGTTCTCCTGTGCGCATGCGCAGCAATCCGGAACTTCTAGAATTTTTAATGAATTTTTAAATGATTATTTAAAGAATAAACATAAGCCCCGCCCACTCTCCGCCCCCCCGGTATATCAGCCCCCGCGGGCGTCTGAGAGGTAGTTCCCCCAGCGCCAAATAGAAGCTTAATGGAGGCATGACAGAGGGGAGGATGGGCGGGTTGTGTGAATTTCACGGATAGACACTCGAAGAAATACGGTTACAGGTAAGCAACCTTTATTTTTTCTTCGTGTCCTCCGTGAAATGCACACCTATGGGTGAATAGCAAGCTACTGACCTGGAGGTGGGTCATGCCACACAGGAAAACAGTACAGCTCTGCCGAAGGCTGCATCCTTCTTGGCCAACACATCCAGTTTGTAGTGTGATGCAAACGTGGACGGTGTGGACCACGTTGCCGCTCTACAGATCTGGTCAAGCGGAACTCCACGCAAAAAGGCTTGGGAGGTGGAGAGTGATCTGGTTGAGTGGGCCACCACGCGAGATGGTGGTTGCTTTCCCGCCAATTGGTAGGCTAGTCGGATCGTCGAAACGATCCAAGAGGCTATGCCCTGGGAAGAGACAGGGTGCCCCATCATGTCTTTCCTGTATTTTAAAAAGAGCCTTGGGGATTTCCTATGAGGGGATGTCCTATGCAAATAGAATGAAATGGCCCTCTTAACATCCAATGAATGGAGGGCCACCTCAAGTGGAGACGATGGATTCGGGAAGAACGCTGGTAGTATGATGTCTTGAAACATGTGGAAGTGAGAGACTACTTTAGTCAAAAAAGTGACATCAGTACGAAGGACAACCTTGTCATTGTGGAACCTCACGTACGGTGGGTCCGATCTGAGGGCCGTGAGTTCACTGGCTCTTCTGGCCGAGGTGATAGCCACCAGGAATGCCGTTTTCCAAGAGAGGTGAGATATGTCATTGGAGGCCATGGGCTCAAAGGGCGGCTTTGATAGCTGGGATAGCACCAGCTCTAGGCTCCATTGTGGGGGAGGGGGGGCGACAGGAGGGTGGATATTTTTGTATCCTTTCAAAAACAATTGAACCAAATGATCTTGAAAAAGGGACGGCAAGCCACATTTTCTTCTAAAGGATGATATAGCAGCTAGGTAGCATTTAACTGAAGAGAAGGAAAAACCTTTATTAGAAAGGTGGACTAGGAAGTCCAGCACTATGGAGATGGGAGCTGTAGTAGGGTTGTGGCCAACTGATTTTGTGAATGTCGTGAATAATGACCACTTATAGGCATAAGACTTTGTGGTAGATGGTTTATGAGCAGCGAGGAGTATGCGTGATACGTCCTCTGATAGATTCATTGTGGTCTGATCCTCCATGCCGTTAAGCGGAGGGAGGGGAGGTCTGGGTGGAGAACGAGCCCGTTCTCCACCGTGAGAAGGTCTGGCAAGGGATCCAGATGGAAGTATTCCCTGTTGGAAATTTGGAGGAGTGTGGCAAACCAGTGTTGGCGTGGCCACCAAGGGGCGATCAGGATGCAATCCGAGTTGTCCTGAATTATTTTGGCTATGACTGGGGATAGGAGAGGGAGGGGTGGAAAAATGTAGATGAGGTTCGGTGTCCATCGGAAGAGGAAGGCGTCTCCGAGACAACCTGGGGATGCGTGAGGGAGGAGTCTTGCGCAGTATGTTGGGCAGTGGGTGTTCATTGGGGACGCGAATAGATCTATTGCGGGCGTCCCCCATTTGTGTGTGATGGTTTGGAATTGGGACATGTGGAGATGCCATTCGTGGTTGTTCTTTGTTGTTCTGCTTAGTGAGTCTGCCAATGTATTGTCTTGGCCTGGTAGGTGGATGGCCGAGAGGAGGATGTTTTTCTGAATGCACCATTCCCAGATGCGAGTTGAGATTGACGTCAGTGTTTGGGATCGAGTTCCCCCTGTTTGTTGATGTAATATTTGACTGCAGTATTGTCCGTTACTATTTGGACTATATGGTTGGAGGTGATGCGGGAGAAGGCTCGAAGGGCCTTCTCCACCGCCATCATTTCTAGTGCATTTATGTGGAAGCGGCGCTCCTGAGGGAGCCAGTGACCGCTGATTTTGAATCCCTTGAGATGTGCTCCCCAGCCTGAGTTGGAGGCGTCCGTTGTCAGGGACATGGACGGATGTGGCTGTATGAATGGCATGCCTAGGCGAACATTGTGTACCTTTGTCCACCATGTGAGGGAGTGTAGCACTACGTGTGGTGGGTGGAGGATTCGGGACTGCGGATCGTGGAGGGGGTCGAAAGTTCTGATGAACCAGTTTTGTAGAGGCCTCATCCGAAGCCGGGCAAAGGGGGTTACGCTGGTAGTAGATGCCATATGGCCAAGTATAGATTGGATGGCCCAGGCCGAGGCCTGTTGTGTTTGGATGAGTGAAAGAATAGCTTGTTGGAGTTTTAAAAAGCGGTCCTCTGGGAGGAAGGCTCTTTGGAGTGTGGAGTCTATGATGGCTCCTATGAATTGAATGCGTTGTGTTGGTTGAAGATGAGATTTTTTGTGGTTCACCACTAGGCCGAGATCCTGTAAAAGAGATAAGGTGTAATGAATATCTGTGCATAATTGAGACTTTGAAGTCGAGGCCAACATCCAGTCATCCAGGTACGGGAAAACTGTTATGCCTTGTTGGTGGAGGTGTGCGGCTATGACCGCCATGCATTTTGTAAACACCCTGGGGGCGGTGGACAAACCAAAAGGTAGAGAATTAAACGAAAAATGGTAATTTTGGACCGTGAAGGTAAGAAACCTTCGGTGGGAGTGTCTAATTGAGATGTGGAAGTATGCATCTCATAGGTCAACTGTTGCTAACCATGCCCCTTCGGGAATGAAGGGAAGAATGTTGGGGAGAGTGACCATGCGAAATCTGCGTGGGGTAATGAAAGTGTTGAGTTTGCGGAGGTCCAAGATGGGCCGGAGTCCACCATCTTTTTTGTCTATGAGAAAGTAATGAGAGTAGAAGCAGGTGTTAGATGTGTGTGAAGGTATGGAGGAGATTGCTCCTTTAATGAGCAAGGAGTGAACCTCGTCCCATATGGTCTGGGAGGGTTGTGTGACGATGACTTTCCCAACAGGTGGGTAGTCATCAAACTCAATTGCATAACCTCTATCAATTATATCAAGGACCCAAGTGTCTGTGGTTATGGATTGCCACTGTGGGAGGAATGAATGTAGTCTATTGAGGTAAGTGAGGTGTTGGGTGGTTGGTGGGGGAGGGAAGGAAATGTTAAAAACGTCTTTTGTTGTTGTTTGGGGGTCTGGTACCACGGTACTGACCTCTTGAGGGAAGTGGAGGGCGTCTCGTAGCCGCAGTGGGCGCATATGGTCGTTGTCGTCCTCTGTAGAATGAGGTGTTGTAAGGTTTGTTGTAAAATTGGGGGCGATAATAGTAGGAGCCCCAGCGCTGTCGTTGGTAAGTGTACGGTTGTTGGTCATATTTGTACACTGTTTGTTTCATCTCATGAGAGTGTTTTAGTTGTGAGTCGGTCTCAGGGTTGAATAGGCCTGCCTCATCCATAGGGAGATCCTCAATGAGAGAACGTTGAGATTGAGAAAGGATCGCATCTCTAAGCCATGCATGACGGCGAAGGGCTACTGATCCTGCAATTAGTTTCCCAGAATTATCAGCAGTGTTTCTTGCTAGGTCTTTTTGCAGTTTG